GTGTTTACTTTTTCTCCCTTAGCCTCACTTTGGGGAATGGAATGTGACGTGTGCATAGTATTTGAAAGGGGCCTCGTCCCGGGAGCAAACATACAAACTGCCATCCAGCTCCGATGCTCATTAGAATACAAGGGAAGGTTTTTTGTTCTCACATGTGGTTTTTCAAAAAATTCCACAGCCCACCTGCCGGCACAGTAGAGTGCCATGGCACACCGGTTGGGAAACACTGCTCTAAGGGACTGTGGAAAAGCCAGGGTGTAACGCCGACCCTGTGGATCCGTGACAGAGGGCAAATGGAAAAAGTACCACGGTTAATGCTCTGTCACCACCGGGCATTTTAGCAGAGCCATTCAGTGAACAAGGGGATAGGGTGGAGCTGTAGTAGTGAAGGGTTGGGTGGTCTCCCCTGCTCCAATTTGGCCACTGGTGGGGAGGGGGGATTTCCCTGACTTGGGGCAGGAGCAGGAAGGTGGGTACCTAGGGCAGCTCATGGGCTGGGCTGGAGGCAGAGACCAGCTCAGGACAGCAGCAAAGGCGAGCTGGGGGTGACAGTCTGACTGGGAGTGAGGGGAGATTATCTGGGATCCCAGCTGGGGAGCAGGGCCTGGTCTAGTCAGAGCCTTAGCAGCCCCCAATGGGGTTGCCAACTGGGCATTCAGGCCCTGCCCCCAGCCCCCTGGCAACGCACTGTGAGGGAGAGGGGCCAGCAGAGGGGCAGGCAGACCCAGAGGGAGGGGTCTTCTAAGAAAGGCCCATAAGGGAGTCGCAAGGGAACTTCCTGCTGGCGAAGAAGGGGGGTCACCAGCTGTCAAGAAGCGGGGATCCACTTGGAGCTGCTTGGGTCCCCCTGGAGGCTGGAACGGCGACGGCGATGGGGGGTGAGGGCCTCCCTCCCCGAGGCCTTGTTAGCGGGAGGACAACATCATCACAAACTCTGAGAGAGACACAACGTGGGATCTGGAGTGAGCGAATACCAGCGCCTCCCTCTGCACATCCAGCACAACACAGCCTGACTGCACTGTCCTGTGCTGCCCACCACTGCAGCCCACTCCTCCACCCCCTGGACTGTACCCCCAGCCACGGCTCCCCCTACCAGGCTTCAGGATGCTGCAGCCCATCCCAAGCCGGTCAAGTGGAGTTTCCGCAGCAGGTGGCATGGGGCTGAGGGGGGCTGTGGAGAGCAGGGCGAGGGCTTGGAGAAGCCAAAGGGCAGGAATCATGCCCCCGGGAGGCAGGATGCTGGGGGGAGATTGTCCCCTTCACCCCCCAGCCATCACTGCCTCTCCTCTCATGTGCCCCTCCCCAGCCCTAGCTCTGGCTCCCTCCCCTGCTCCATCCAATCCCACAGCAGGCAGCTCTGCCCCAGGCACCACCCACCCCAACCCTGTGAAAAAACAGCCCCCCATGGGCTGTAGAAAGTGGGGCTGAGCCTCACCCTGTTCTGGAGGGGTAGGGGGTGGCTCTTTAGCCCAGGGCCCTAGACCCTATAGCTCTGTGTTAAGGGCCCAGCACACAACTAAACACAAGGGGGAAAGCACAGACAGGACTGGGGGAGGGGGCTGTCACAGGAAGACACTGGCAGGGAGAGAAGGGGGAGGTCTCTGCAGGGGTGAGTCCTTGCTGGAGGGGCAGAGGAGATATCCCCAGGGCTCAGTGTGGAGGGAGGTGGGGGGTCTCTGGCACCAGTGGGTGGGAGGCAGGTTCCCAAAGGCCAGTGCAGTCAGTGGGGGGAGAGGAGTCCCTGGGGTCAATGGGTTCCCGAGAGGTTCAGTGGGTGGGGGTTGCAGAGCATCTCTCACCGTCAAAGTCCACATGGACGTCCCCATTGAGGTCAACATCGCACAGGATCTCCTCCACCTCTGGCAGCGGGACCTGCTCCCCCAGCAGGGCCAGGAGGGTGTCCTTCAGCTCCGTGCTGCTGATCTCCCTGTTCCCGTTCCTGTCCAACTCTGGGGGGGGGGGGAGAAGAGAACAGGGTGAGTGTGGGATGGCCCGGCTGGATGGGTGCCAGCCACATCCCCGCCCTGCTCCCCCCCCCCAAGCCCATGTTCCCCCTTCTTCCTACACCCCCATACCTCACGGAAGGCAATCTTGAGCTCACGCACCCCCACCATATGGGCCGTCTCCTCACGCAGCTTCGGCCCCATCATCTCCACAAAGTCCTCAAAGTCCACACGCCCAACCACTGCAAGAGAGACACGGAGATCAGTGCCCAGCCCCCACAATGGGGAGAAGTCCCACGGAGGGAAGTCGTGTGAGGGGAGGGGGGTCTCTCTGGTGCTGGGGCAGGTCCCATGGGGGGGAGCAGTATGTGGGGAGGGGGTGCCCAAGGTGAGTGCCTGGGCTCCCAACCATGCTTCTTTTTCCCAGAGGTAAACCAGGCTCCCCGCTTTACACTGGGCTTCAGCCCCTCCCTTTGCAATTTGCACTCGCCGGATGCTCTAGCTTGCACATAATCGTTAGTGAGATCGGCTGTTTTTTGGATAGAATCCAGAGACTTTTCCCAAATGGCTTGCCTGATCTCTTCAGAACAACATGCTCAGGAACTGTTCCTGGGTGAAGAGATCAAACAACTGGTCCTAATTCTCTGCCCCGTCCCCTTGGCCTGTTTTCTCATCAAATCCCACTATTTATACACACATTCCCTATAACTCATCTTGTCATTTGTTCTGAGGCCTCAACATTTCATCTAAATGCTTCAGGGGTAATTCACATCCTTTGCAATGCACCCTTTATAAATTCATCATATTTCAAAGCTTGGTCAATTGGCATCTCATTAAATACATCCAATGCTTTACCCGAGAGCTTAGTAATCAACATTGCATTGTTCTTCTGTCTGGAACTTTATGGACCTCACAGAGCCTTTCAAAAGTGGTAAGGAATTCCTTAATACGGTCTACTCTTCTGTATGCAGGGCACAGCTTATCCCAGCTGGGTGTCCCTTGGGGAGAGATAGCACCTGTGGGTCGGGGGGAATCTGTCCACGCCTTTCCTGCTCTTTCAGCTCCATCGCTCATTGGTTGGCAGCTGCTTCCAGTTCCAGGGCCCACCGATGTGCTTCTTTGGCTCTTTGCTTCACTTCCCATTTTGATTATTCACACTTGCTCTCTCATTGTTCAGCTTCCCATTCGGGTGTCCTCGTGCTGCTTGCTCAACACCTCTTCCTCCCTTTCCAGACTAGCCAGCTCTAACTTTGCCGTTGTTTCACTGTCACTCATTTGAAACTTCCTTTGTTCTATTTCCACACCCGAAATAAACAGAAAATCAAACTGTAACCATTCTTTGATTTGTATTTGGGCATCACTTACAACTATTTTACAAAAAAATGGCCAAACAGACCAATGGTCCATCTAGCCCAGTATCCTGTCTGCCAACAGTGGCCAATGCCAGGTGCCCTGGCAGTGCCGTAACGAGGGCAAGGCGAGAGAGGCACTTGCCTCAGGCGCGAAAGGTGAGGGGCGCAGAAAGTCTCTCCTTCTGCGGCAATTCAGCGGCAAGTCCTTCACTCCAAGAGGGACTGAGGGACCCGCCGCCAAATTGCCGCTGGTCGTCGGCAAGGGAAAGGGGCGGCACGTCCAGCTCTTCGGCGGCAATTCGGCGGTGGGTCACTCAGTCCCTCCCAGAGGGAAGAACCTGCCGCCGAATTGCCGCTGAAGAATGGCAGCAATTCGGCGGCAGGTTCTTCCCTCCGAGAGGGACCTGCCATCGAAGAGCTGGACGTGCCGCCCCTGTCCCTTGCCTCGGGCGCAAAAATCCCTAGTTACGGCTCTGTGCCCTGGAGGGAATGAACAGGGCAATTATCCAGTGAGCCATCCCATGTCATTAAGTCCCAGCTTTTGGCAGTCAGAGGCTAGAAACACCCAGCGCATTGGGTTGCACCTCTGCCCATCCTGGCTAATAGCCATTGATGGACCTATCCTCCATGAACTTATCTAGTTCTTTTTTGAACTCTATTATAGTTTGGCCTTCACAACATCCCCTGGCAATGAGTTCCACAGGTTGATTGTGCATTGTGTGAAGAAATACTTTCTTTTGTTTGTTTTAAACCTGCTGCCTAGTCATTTCAGTGGGTGAAGTTGATGAAATTCATAGGTATGTTATGTGAAAGCATAAATAACACTTCCCTATTCACTTTCTCCACACCAGTCATGATTTTATAGATCTCTATCATCTCCCCTCTTAGTCGTCTCTTTTCCAAGCTTCACAGTCCCAGTCTTTTCCATCTCTCCTCATATGGAAACTGTTCTAGACCCCTCATCATTTTTGTTGCCCTTCTCTGTACATTTTCCAATTCTAAAATATCATTTTTGGGGTGGAATGACCAGAAATGCACACAGTATTCAAGATGTGGGCACACCATGGATTTTACCAGTGCTTGAAGTGCAAACCCCAGTCAGATAGCAAGCTGTGTGTGTAAATCTTGTTTGACTACACCAGTGTGATGCTTGGGGGTTCAACCCAGATCAGTAAGGAGTTTTGTCACCGCCTGCCCTATAACCCTGTTGTGCAGCTTTGAATAAGTGCCCTGACACCAGCAATGGATATAACCAGGGCCTCCGGCACATCATCTCCCAGGGCCCTCTTCCCCACAGCCCCACAGCATTCTCCCTTATGGAGTTCAGGGGGTGGGGCCCTGGAACAAGGAGGGGGTGGGATTTCTCTCAGGCCCCACATCCCCAGACTGTTGTTAATGAGCTGGAGGAGCAGATTTACCATGTGGTGGCATGGGGCTCCCAGTGACGGGGTGCCCCCAAAATGCAGGACAAATCTCATCTAACAACCTGCCCCCGAGTTCCAGCCAGCAGCATGGCAAGGTTCAGGCAGGCAGGCTGCCTGCATGCCGTGGCTGGTGGCCCCACGCCACTCCTGGAAGCGGCCAGATGCTGGCATGTCTCTGCACGCCCCTGGTGGGGGGAGGTGGCTCTGTGTGCTGCCCCTGCCCCAGGCAGCACATGGAAACCCACTGTCCCCCTCTTCCCAAGAGGCATGCAGAGACGTGCCAGCAGCAGGGCTAAGGCGGCTCACCGCCCGCTCTGCCTCCCTCCCTCCCTCTATGCTGCACCGCTCCCGGAAACGGCCATCATGTCCCTGTGACTCCTGGGGGGAGGGGGGTGTCTTCACACGCTGTCCCTGCCCCGAGTGCCAACTCCGCAGCTCCCATTGGCCAGGAACTGCGGCCAATGGGAGATGCAGGGGTGGTGCCTGCGGGCAGCGGCATGTGGCGACGCCCGGCCCCCTCCTCCTAGGAGCCGCTGCCAGAGGGGTGTGTGTGCTTTGGGAGCCACACAGCCCGAGGTAAGCACCACCCCCCTGCCCCCTCCCACACCCCAACCCCCTGCCCCAGCCCAGATCCCCACCCAGCACCCAAACTCCCTCCCAGAGCCTGACCCCCACACCCCAACCCCCTGCCCCAGCCCAGAGCCCCACCCAGCACCCAAACTCCCAGAGCCTGATCCCCACACCCCCTACTGAACCCCAACCCCCTGCCCCAATCAAGGTACCTCACTTTATTTTCATTTACTTCCCATTACTTATAATATAGGAGGAGGATGAAGAAAAAAAGAATGAAAAACCTGGGGGGGGGGGAAGGGAGAGATAAAAGATTGTTCTTTTTCTTGGCTTGTTCCTGAGGGGGGGCCCCCAAAAATGAAGCTGTGCACAGGGCAACCACTAACTCTAAATCCGCCACTGATGAGCTGACACTCAGGGCTGGTCTATACTTAGCCGCTAGTTCGGCGGCTGGAAATCGAACTTCCTGGTTCGATTTATCGCGTCTGGTCTGGACGCGATAAATCGAACCAGGAAGTGCTCGCCGTCGACTGCGGTACTCCAGCTCAACGAGAGGAGTACCGCGGCGTCGACGGGGGAGCCTGCCTGCCGCGTGTGGACCGCGTCTGAACCGCGGTAAGTTCGAAGTAAGGTATGTCGACTTCAGCTACGTTATTCACGTAGCTGAAGTTGCGTACCTTACTTCGACTTGGGGGGTTAGTGTAGACCAGACCTCAGATGCAGCAAGGATGGGGTCAGGGGTGCTGGAGTACAGTTAGGTTCGCCGATCCTTATATATCCTATTGCTCCCCCCGCCCCAGAGGAGACCCCAGAACTTACCCTCTCCAGGGCCCATCCTCCCCTCCGCCTCTCTGCTGGGGCTGCCCTAGGAGACCAGCTAGTGGTTGCTGTGGTGGTGAGTTCTCACCCTCCCCTCCCCACACACCCAAAGCCCAGCACCCTCTGCACCCTCATGCCCAGCCTTGCTCCACCCTGGCATCCTGTCCAGGGCAACAGACCTCCCTGGGCGATGGGGCCAGCCCTGCAAGAGCCTCTCAGCTGGGGTCTAACTGTGCCCTGGGGGTTACGGCACTAGACTGGGCCTCAGGAGGCCTGGGTTCAAGCCCAGCTCAGCCAAAAACTCCCTGTGGGACCTTGGGCAGGTTCCTGTATCTCTCTAGGCCTCGGTTCTCCAGGTGCACAGGGAGAGCCAAGGCTGCCGTGGGTATGGGTAGTAGCACACTAGATCAGTGGTTCTCAACCTATTTACCACCGTGGGGCACATATGCAGCTCCCTAGGTGTTATGTGGGCCACTTCCACACAACATATATACTACCTATATGGCCCTGAGGATGTCACATGTGCTGTGGCTGTGTGCTAATTGGGCTGCAAACAGCCTGCGGGTTGAGAACCACTGCACTAGATACTACTATCAGCCAGCCTCCTGTACCTTGCAGTCTGCTCTGCTCTCATCATGCCCATGGTTTCCTGGCTGGAGGCCCCAGAGGATTCTGGATCTGTGCTCATGGGATCCCTTACTCTGCAGATGCCGGATAAGGAGCTGCTGCTGCCGCCTTACTATCTCTTGTGGCAGCTACCCTCTCTCCTGAGCTTAGCATATTCCCCTCTGAGCTACAGTGATAAGGGGAAACCACTAACCGATAGAGCCAGGGTGTTCTGGGGCTGCTTCCTCTTGCACATCTGATAAACCCTGCTGGAACTTGTTCTAGGTGGCTGATAAGCTGTTCACAGCCCCTGGTGATCTGCCCTTAACAGATCTTGGCTTTTTCTGTTGAGTTGAATTTTTGACTGGGATAGGAGATGCCAGATGGGCTGGTTAGGGAGGGTGCCCAGGGGAGCCAACTCAGGTCACTCAGTTAGGGTGAACTGCAAAGAATGGTGCAGACAATCCCCAAAGCTGGTGGATATTTGGATTTACCAAACCAGCACAAAACAGCTTCTATAATATCTCACTGGTTACCCAGAAGTCAACAACACAGTTCCCTTAAAGTAACCCAGCCTCAGCCCTCCACCTAGACACCCAAGTCAGATATGATTAGGATTTCTGAAAATCTTATTCATCATATAAAAAAGTTCTACCAATCCCAAAGGATCGGACACATTACCTCCCAGGTTAATGAATATTCCAGATCTTACCCAAATACGCATTTACAGCCAATTCTAATTAACTAAACTAAAATTTATTAAAAAAAGAAAAGAGAGAGAGTATGGTTAAAAGATCAGCATACATACAGACATGAGTACAATTCTTGAGATTCCGATTCATAGCAGAGATGGTGAGCTTTGTAGTTGCAAAGAGTTTTTTCAGAATTAATCCGTAAGTTATAGTCCAATGTTTATATTCAGGGTGGTCCAGTCAGGACTGGGATCTCAGTCCTTGGGATTGGTAGAAGTTTTTTTATATGATGAATAAGATTTTCATCATATTTGACTTAGTTCTGTCTCATTATCTATTCCTTTCTTAATGGTTCCTAACAATCTGTTAGCTTTTTTGATTACTGCTGAATGGCTTAATGGCAGGAGTATTTAAATACAGCCAGAACTGTGAGTCATTGTGTTATCCCTTGTGATAAATGAAAGGGGGGATAGCTCCCTTTTATGGACACCCAGCCAGTGCTATAAAATCCCCTTAGTAGTTGTTCTCTACTTGCTTTACCTGTAAAGGGTTAAAAAGTCTCCCTGCATAAGTAAAAGGAAGTGAGGTGGCACCTGGCCAAAAGAGCCAATGAGAAGGCTAGAACTTTTTAAAATTGAGGAAAAAACTTCCCCTTTGTCTGTCTGTATTGTTCTTGAGGAGAAGCAGAGACAGGGCTGCAGCTATGTTGTAAGAGCTTGAACCAGATATGAAAAACCACCAGATCATACCTAGAAACTACTCATTTAAAACCCCAGGAAATGTCCAGGAAGACGTGATTAGGTTTATTTCTTTTATTTCTTTATGGCTTGTGGATTCCTCTGTGTTAAACCCAAATGCATTTGTTTTGCTTGTAACCTATAAGCTGGACCTCACGAAAGCTATTCTTGATTCTTAATTTTTGTATTTTTTTTAAATCTAGCAATAGCCTGAGTTTTCAATGTATTTTCTTTTTTTTTGTTTTTAATAAAATTTACCTTTTTTAAGAACAGGATTTGATTTTGTGTCCTAAGAGGGTTGTGCACATGTTGTTTAATTAGCTGGTGGCAACAGCTGATTTCCTTTGTTTTCTTTCTCAGCTCTTCCCTGGGAGGGGGTGGGAGGGCTGAAAGAGCTTGAGGGTACCCCACAGGAAGGAATTCCCAAGCGCCTTCCTGGGTTCTCAAAGGGGTTTTTGCACTTGGGTGGTGGCAGCATCTACCCATCCAAGCTCAGAGAAAAGCTGTAACCTTGGGAGTTTAATACAAGCCTGGAGTGGCCAGTATTAATTTTTTGAATCCTTGCGGGCCCCCACCTTCTGCACTCAAAATGCCAGAGTGGGGAATCAACCTTGACACCCCTCTTCCTCAGCAACAGTGAGCTTTCCTGGCAATGAGACCATGTGTCAGCTCCCAGCCTGTCTGCTCTCCTGGCAAACTCCTCGAGAGGCTGCCAGTCCAAACCTTGCCTTGCTGGTAACCATCAGTGCACCCAGTTCCTGCGTTCCCCGGGGATGTCTCCCTGCAGCGTCCAGTCCCTCTCCCGGGACACTCACTGAAACCACTATGTTTACTGCCTGGAGAGAGACAGAGCACACACCAGCCTGATAGGTTAGCTGGGGACTCACGCCTACATTGGTACAACACCCTGAGATGGTTTATGGGAAAATGAAGATTAAGTTAAAGAACAGAGGGTTAAGTCAGGGGTTCCCACTCTGTGGGATGCGACACAGTCCCAGGAGGTCTGCCAGCAAGGGTGGAGATGGGGGATGAGGCATGTAGGGGTATTGCCCCCCCAAAAAAA